ACATAGTTTGTAATAAAGGGTGAAATGTAATGACAGATTATAAACCTAAACCTTTTATTTTAATTAATTAAGAAATCATTTAGATGTCTACATAGGAAAAAGTATATAAGTGTTAGAACTGGTGATCTTGCTGGCCATTCTATGAAACCTCCTCCTCCGTGTTGTTGAAGACATCCTTTCATTGTTAAAATTAGATTCCAATGGATTTAAAAACAACTTTGCTAAAGTTGGAACAACTTATTCTCTTAGCGTTTTTCAATAAAAATAGGTCCCACACAGCAAACAGAAAAATATAGAAGTGTAGATGATGACTCCCCATTTGCATACTAAAGTTTTATTAGAACTATATTGAATCGTGCTTTTTTTATATTTTTCGCCTCTATACCTATGCACGACTATATTTAAAGTCAAACTCAATGGTGTCTTACAAGATACATTATTTTGATTTTCTATATTCAACAGAGAGGTAGAAACTTGACCCTGTCGAATGGTGCAGTCATTTATGTCTCTGGAAATTATTGAAAAAGGTGGCAGTCCAATGGTGCAGCAACTTTGGATTCTTATTCTCTTCAAAGGCATAGAAACTCAAGCTTTTTGAATTTTACTGGCAATGATTTTTGTTAATGTCTTCGAGAATTATAAAAAACAGCGCAATGCAATATCGCAAAGGTTTCGACTTCTCTTTACTCTACCAAGTTATAGAAACTGGAGTCTTTCGAATATTGTTCTAGTCAATATTTCTGAGATCATACAAAGAGGGTGTAATTCAATATTGCAAGAAGTTTTGATCTTTTGATGGATGCAAGTATTTTGAATATTCCCATTTCTGCATAGGATTTTGTTGGAAACAGTTCCTTTCTTTGGTTCCTTTGATTTTTATTTACCGTAACAACTCAGATATGTAAAGCACAGAGGATATGATGTAAAGTATATTTATGAAATAATATAAAGTACCTATATTTGTATTAAAACTCTCAGGTGATGTTGAAAAAACGATCGATATGCTATTAAACTTTAATAATTTAGTAATGAGGTCTGTTGGTAGACCCTGCACTATCTCCACGGGTATATGTTAGTACAGCAATATTTAAATCTGGTTGATCAAAAAGTACACACCAGTGCAGGTTATTGTAGCTTCCAGTGGCGGCTCGTCGGGGTAGGCAAGGTAGGCGCCGCCTACCCTGGAAATATGGATGTAAAATAATAAATATAAGTAATTTAACATTAATAAAATTACCAAATTTAATTAAATTATTTTTATTGCATTCATAAATCTTATTTATCGCAAATAAAACCTTTTATTGAATTGTTACGTGATGCGTCATGACGAAAGTAGCTAGTTCACACATTTTTCTATGCTCTAAATCAGCATCTAAAGCATGCAAAGGCGCCCAAGCGCCTATTTATTTGATTCTTGCACGTCAACCAAGTGAAGAACGCTATACCGCTGACCAATAGAAACGCCGTTGACGTATGGTAAAATTGCGATGTGTAGGCGAGTCTAAGGCGACACGATTGTTCGCCTTCGGCTAATCCGAAAGCCGGTTCGGCTTCCGACTTGTAAGTTATTTTTTTAAGCCGGTAATCGATAAATTGATCGATCTCAATGCCAGAGGTTCAAAATATAATATGAATTTAATATTAAAAGTCCTGTAAATAACATTATTTGTAAGAATATATTAATATAATAAATAATTAATTTAAAATAGTGACATCTGTTGAGATAAATTCGAACGATAAAGGGTTTTTAAGCAGATTTCTTTTACATTTTAGTTCCGTCAATTAAATGTTTTTGAGTTAAACAATAATAATTATTGTTTTAAGCCAAATTCACTTTATTTTTGTGACTGTGTCTGGAAATTAATTACCCGCTAAGTATTAATGTATCATTATTTATTATTATTATTAGAATTAGGTAGTATTAGTTTGTATTAGAATTAGGTAGTATTAGCGTTGATTATTAGCCTTGTTTAATAAACAAGGGTATTATTTTGCAATAATGGAGGGCCCATTTCATGACATTATTTGCTCATTACTTGAAAATCCATTTTCTCGCCTTAATGAAAACGATCGAAAAGATGTTATGATTAATGATCGCCCTATTCCACATCTAAATCTTTTAAAACCTGATAAAAAACATGGTTCAACTTTTTCTCGATCGTTTAAAAAGCAATGGTATGAGAATCATCGATGGTTATGTGGTAGTTTTTTTAAACAGAGTTTGTTTTGTTGGCCGTCGCCTACCCCAGCGCGGAAGGCACGAGCCGCCACTGGTAGCTTCTACGAACAAATGAATTAAAGGCCCATTGGCAATTATTCATTTAGAAAAAATATTTAACACAGCTTAATTAATTAATAAAATGAAAAAAATCACAATCATGTCGTATATAGTTTTTTTTTCAAGCATAAAATAATTTTCATATTAATACTAGTTCAAAAGTCAAATTACGACCTATTCAAACGTATTTTTCCGTTTGCTGTATATGACTTTGTCGCATCCAGTGGGGGTTTTCTTCTGCCCTGTATCTGTAGTTCTGCCTATTTACCTCGCCATTTAGAAAAAAGGTTGATTAATCAGGAAAAAGAATATTTTCAAAAGAAATAACATATCCAGCATTTGCCTGCAAAACTGCAATCTTCCATCAGAATCACCGTCAATCAATTCTTGTACCTGTTGTGGTTTACCTAAATGAATGAATTTTTTCGGCGTTTACACATCTTAAAACAGTCGAATGACTAACGTCGTCTAACTAAAATATTAAGTGTTACAGCACTAAGAACAAATTATTGCAATTTTATTAAGAGCACTTGGAACAAAGAAAATACTTCAACAAGTAAAGCGTGAAATGTTTCGACTATAATTACACAAGAGCTTATTTTTAGCCGGATAAATTTTTGTTTTCCTTAAAAGCTTGTTACCTAGCAATTTGACAAGAAAAAATGCCATCAATCAAAATTGCGAGACCGTAGGTCGAGCGATTTTGTCAGATGACATTTTTTCGAGTCAAATTGCTAAAAGGTAACAAGTTTGAAAGTTAGAAAACATAAATTTATCCTGCCAGAAAAAAAGCTCGAGTGTAATTCGACGAGATAATTTTGTGATTAATTTTTTTCATATTGCATGCCCAATCAAGCAAAATATTTGCTAAATCTTGCTGTGATATTGGGTCGAGTAGTTTGTAATTCCTCGCATTACAAAATGCCATATATTGTCGCCAAATTGACGCTTTATTATTAAAGAATTATTTGGGATACTTTTTACAATTTGTTCTTTATTGTTTTTCGCCGGAAACGACACCAAAACGATTCATTTTAAAAGATTTTTTGACACCTGCTATTAAAAAATAATTATTTGCAAGGTTGTCAAGGAAATTAAATGACACGAGGTAAATAAATAATTATCCACTTGCAAAAGTTACCTTCATAGATAATTTTTTTTTACATGAAAACGTCGTAGTTGAATTACATTTAAGTCACTTTGATAACGGATAAAAAGGAAGGTAACTTTTTGCAAGTGGATAATTATTTATTTACCTCGTGTCATTTCATTTCCTTGACAACCTTGCAAATAATTATTTTTTAATACCAGTTGTCAAACAATCTTTTAAAATGAATCGTTTTGGTGTCGTGTCCGACAAAAAAATTAAAGAACAAATTGTAAATAGTATCCCAAATAACTCTTTAAATAATAAAGCGTCAATTTGGCGACACTTTATGGCATTTTGTAATGCGAGGAATTACAAACTACTCGACTCAACATCACAGCAAGACTTAGCAAATATTTTGCTTGATTGGGCATACAATATGAAAAAAATTAATGGAGATGATTATAAGGAATACGTTATCAAAACTATGTGGAACTCAACGGCAAAAATGCTTCAAGAGAAATACTATCAAGATTTTAATATCAAAATTAATCCATTTTCCGATATTGTATTCAAAGAGGCCCGTGATGCTAGAAATGCAAAAAGAAAGGAGTTACAAAGAATTCCGGAAAGCAGAAAAAGAAGTTCAAATGCTCTCACAAAAGAGGAAATTATAAAAATGGCTAAGATATGGAAAGGAAATGAACCAGAAGGTTTACAAAAAAAATTCTTCCATATTGTTTCTTACGAGTTAGCATGGAGAGGTGGAGAAGCAGCAGCATGCATGTTGTATTATTTTAGTGAAGAAAAAACCAACGATGGGATGCTACAATACAATACAGTGTTTTCTAAGACTGCACAAGGAGGATCTAAAAGATTAAGTGACAGTAAATGGATTTAAAAAAATGAGGTAGATCCAAGCATTTGTCCAGTAAGACTATTTAAAGTTCTTCTGGAAAAAAGATCTAAATACATAACATCAGATCGTATGTTTCTTACTCCAAATCCATTTTGGAATAAACAAAATTCTAAAGGTTGGTACAAAAACATGCCCTTGGGTAAAAACATAATCTCAAAATGGACGCAAATCTCAGCAATTGCAATTGGACTCGACACAAAAAAGATCAAAATAACAAACCATTCAAACCGAGCCAGTACTGTATCCGAATTAGCTAAAGCGGGAGTAAGCGACCAACAACTCATTAAATTAACTGGCCATTCTAATAGCAATTCTTTAAAACCATATTTACAAATAGATGCAACACATCATAAAGAAATAGTTTCAAATTTACGAAATGATATGAAAATTGCCTGTCAATCAAACAATGAAAACAACATTCAAAATGCAAGCATTACAGATTTTATTGAAGAAAATAATACACTGGAGCTATCTTCTACCTCTACATCCAGAATTATTTATAATAATTGTTCATTTACTAATTGTTCATTTAAATAAATTTAAAAAAGAGACTTAATCATCAATTAATCACAAAATTATCTCGTCGAATTACACTCGACTACGACGTTTACATGTAAGAAACAAATTATCACTAATAAAAAAATGTAAACAATGCAAACGGGACGAACCCAAAAACGGCATTAACAAAAATACAAATGTGCAATGTTAATCAAACTTTAACTAAGGGAAAAAACATGAATAGCAAAAGCCACAACACAAAAAATTAAAGCATAGGATAACAATAACAAATTCATACTTGTAATTTGTAAATAATAACCTGTATTGAAAACTATGTTAACTAAACCCCTTCCATATAAGAAAAATCTTACTTGGTCAAAATCAAAAACTTCAGGTATGGCGTTTCCTAAAAAAGTGACAGGCGTGTTTACGGGGGAGTTTTCGGAAATCTCGCATTCATATCGCGTACTTTTGAATCTTGGACTTTCATCATTTTCGTCCATTATCATAACAGTTACTTCTGTCGTAGTAGACGGGTGTGGGGTAATGCTGCTTTGTAACTCGGTGGCCTAAAAACGCTTAGTTAAATAATTACTATGATTGTTGATTATTTTTTACGGTTATTTGTAAGATGAAGCTTTCAGATCCTGATTCTCTATCGACCAGGTTAGATGTTACAACCAATCCTGTATCAGCATTGATGCTGAATAGAGATGCCTCTGCATTTGTGATGCTGTTTGATGATATGGAGTACTCAATGGGATTGTTGACTCCTCGATCGCCATCCACAGCATGCACTAAAATTCATCAATCATCGTTTAAATCATCTTCATGTTTGAATATGCTTAGGTCACGGTGTGCCTGAACGAAGTTTAAGTCACATAAAAATGCCGCCAAAAACTGATTGCAGTTTCTTGTTTGGGACCCTTTGGTGAATTAAAAATGATATTTACCAAAATCCTAGCTGCTCCTCTTTTCGAATTTTTTTAAAAATTCATGATTTTTTTTTTAATTTTTGTTTATTTCAAAGTCTACCTTTGACAGAGTACACATTTGTGCACCGATTTTTATAAAATTAGAGTATATTATTGAGGAGACTTAAAGAATACTTTTTAATACTGTTCAAATCATTTGATATTTTCAGGGTGAGCCAAAATTCGTTTATTTTTAATAAAGCAAAAGCGTAAATTCATGATTTTGGCATAACACGCAAAAAATATTTATCCCCATTTTTTTTAGATATTTCTACGTTATCAGGTTACAAAATGGCATTCTAATTAACCTTTAATACAAAAATAGATTTTTAATAAAATTAAATAAAATAACGGTTAGAGAATATTTAAAATGTTGTTTAATTTAGGCTTTTTAGTACATTTCAATTTTGAACGAAAAACTGGTTAAAGTTTTTTGATCGGCACTCTTTGGAGATTTAAAAACGATATTGATCAAAATTCTAATTGCTTTTTTTAAGTTTGTTAAAAAATCATTTTTTTAAATTATTTGTTTATCGCAGTCTACCTTTGCCAGAGTACACATTTGTACACCGATTTTTATTGATTGCAGTTTCTTATTCGGGACCTTTTGGTAACTTTAAAATGATATTTACCAAAATCCTAGCTGCTCCACTTTTCGAAATTTTTTGAAAATTCTTAACTTTTTTTTTTAATTTTTGTTTATCTTACCTTTGACAGCGTACACATTTGTACACCGATTTTTATAATATTGGAGTATATTGTTAACGAGACTTGGAGAATACTGTTTTTATACTGAGCACATCATTAGATTTATACAGGGTTAGCCAAAAATCACTTATTTATATAGTAAAAAGCATAATGCACAAAAAAGATTTATCTCCAAAATTCATGATTTTGGCATAAAACGCAAAAAATATTTATCCCCATTTTTTTTACATATTTCTACGTTTATCAGGTTACAAAATGGCATTCTTATTAACCTTTTATAAAAAAATTTAATTTTAATTTTAATAAAATTAAATAAAATAACGCTTAGAGAATATTTAAAATGTTGTTTAATTTAGGCTTTTTAGTACAATTCAATTTTGAACGAAAAACTGGTTAAAGTTTTTTGATCGGCACTCTTTGAAGATTTAAAAACGATATTTATCAAAATTCTAATTGCTTTTTTTAAATTTGTTAAAAAATCATTTTTTTTAATTATTTGTTTATCGCAAAGTCTACCTTTGCCAGAGTACACATTTGTACACCGATTTTTATTGATTGCAGTTTCTTGTTCGGGACCTTTTGGTAACTTTAAAATGATATTTACCAAAATCTAGCTGCTCCTCTTTTCGAAATTTTTTGAAAATTCTTAACTTTTTTTTAAATTTTTGTTTATCTTTCCTTTGACAGCGTACACATTTGTACACCGATTTTTATAATATTGGAGTATATTGTTAACGAGACTTGGAGAATACTGTTTTCATACTGAGCACATTAGATTCATACAGGGTTAGCCAAAAATCACTTATTTATATAGTAAAAAGCATAATGCACAAAAAAGATTTATCTCCAAAAAATGTTATTTTATTTAATTTTATTCAAAATCAGTTTTCCTTATAAAGTCTTAATAAGAATCCCATTTTGTAGCCTGATAAACATAAAAATATCTAAAAACATGGGTGGATATATATCTTTTTTGCGTGTTATGCCAAAATCATGAAGTTACGCTTTTGCTTTATTAAAAGAAGCGATTTTTGGCTAACCCTGAATATATATAATGATGTGCACAGTATAAAAAAGTATTCTCCAAATCTCCTTAACAATATAATCCAATATTATAAAAATCGGTGTACAAATGTGTACTCTGTCAAAGGTAGACTTTAAGATAAACCAAAAATTTAAAAAAAAATCAAGAATTTCCAAAAAATTTCGAAAAGAGGAGCAGCTAGGATTTTGGTAAATATAATTTTTAAGTCACCAAAGGGTCCCGAACAAGAAACTGCAATCAGATTTTGGCGGCATTTTTATGTGACTTAAACTTCGTTCAGGCACACTGTAAGGTCTACCTTGTAGAACAGATGTGCCTATTGCAACGTTTTCAGGAATTTTAACTATCGGCGTAACTCTGATGAATTCAGGCGGTTGATCTTCGACGTCTTCCACTTTCACCAGAAGCTCAGCCACCCCCGTGTTCACACGGCCCTCTTTTGCCCTGTCGATGGCGAGGATTTTTATCTGATGCACTGTTTGTCTTTCATAATCCAAAGACCCTAAACGTAGCAGAGTAAATAATAGTGGACCAAATAAATACCGAAGACAGTACCTATAAGACGAACGACAGCCTTTTCGCCGACAGTGCTGACACTGAACAATGGTGCATCATCAGTTTCGCCAAGATGATAGACAACTTGTCCGTAGGCGCCCTCATCGGCATCGGTCGCTTCCAGAGTGGCAATCGGACCAGTGGACTCGTCCTCCCTGACCATGACGGACGGTTGATGGTTTTTGAAAATCGGAATGTTATCGTTCACATCCTCCACAAGCAGCAGCAGGCTTTGGGTTACGTAGTTGCCTTGACCTAGATGGCCGTCTGTCAATGTCAGGACCAAAGCATATTCGTCTCTTTCCTATAGAGAAATGGGAACATTAAATGGTTACCACATTACTTTACAATGATATGGGTGATTCTACAAAAGTTGGACAACTTGATGTCATCAGTTAATAGAGTAGGTATTTTAATATTTTTTGTAAATATTTTAGTATATTACAAAATATCCACGTTTTTTTAACTTGTCCACCCAATTTTAATGTAATTTTTCAAAAGCACGTTTGTAGAAAAACATAATAAATATTCAAAACATCAGTACCTGGCGTGTCACAACTCCTAAATCAAATATTTGAGTGATTTTATTTTAAAATATATTCAATTTATCTTAAATTTTTTAATTTCACTACTATAAAACATTAAATAATGTATTTTTCATATTTTATAATAGATTCGAATAATAGCAATTTTTCAAAAATTGATAATCTTTGTACTCACTTTTACCCGTTAGTTTTATGTCCAATGTAAAAATTCAAAATTACTGCGAAATATTGAAGTTTAAAGGTCAAGTCCTCGTTTTAACTCAAGTGTTGGTAAAAAATTACCTACAGAACCCGCCCTTTGCACGAAAGTCTTCTTGAAAACAATGCAAGCGGTGAAGTTGTGGCGAATGCACGTATAGTTCCAGTCAAAATTTCAGTACTGTGGTGAGTAGTTACCCAGATAGCACAGATATATCTTAAAGATGTTGGACTCGGACGTTTATGACATCTCTAAGACGTCCAGTTTACGACGTAAGTAATCTTTAAGACGTCTTTAAGATATCTAATGTTACAAAACACATCGTCTTTAAGATGTCGTTTAAACGGCATTATTAAGTCGTTGGTAAACGTCGCTAAGACGTCTTTAAGATGTTAAAGACTACCAATGGGAATTTGATTTTAAAACTTTCGCTGGGTTATTTTAGGTTTATATTATCTTAATACCTAATTTTTAAAAACATGTTTGTTTATATTGTTTTTATTACAAATGGATATTATTAATTAAGAAAAATAATCAATCTACAAGAATGTCAGATATATATTTATTCAGCTACCCTACCCATCATCGTTGTCAAAACTTAAACTCCTACATTAATGTTGTTTCTTTTAAACCAAAATAAGATGGTACCTTATTATATCTTACTATGAAGTGGCTGATTATGGGATATAATTTCGATTTTGACTTGTCAAAATTCCCTATTTTATCAAAAAATTAAAAAAAAATATACGGCGGTATCAGGCATTTATAAGATGCCTTTAGAACATTACATGAAGATATCTTTAAGACGTCTATCAAAAGACGTCTTTCAGACGTCTTTTTTAGATCTTCAGACGTTGAGGCCTAATACAGACATAGAAAAGACATCTTTAAGACTTTGTGTGCTCTCTGGGTATTTTCTTACGTATATATATTTCATTGTAATTTATATAAGGCTATATGTGATTTGTTGATAAGTAGCATCCACTAATAAAAAATATCAGTAAAATACTTAATTCCGAATTATAATCTCAAATTTGTATCCCATTCATCAGTACCGTGTCGCCAGTTCCATGTTCGATGTTTCGGTTATCTTTTTTCGCAAACTTTAATTTAAAATCTGCTTGCGCAGAACTTGTTTATTTAATGTCATTATAAAATCATATAAATTTGGTGTGGGTCCCATATCTAATAATTGAGATATCGGTATACTCAAAATCCACCAGCCGCCACTGATGTGTGGTATTATTTGATTTTAAGATATTTAATGTATAATATGCTCAAAGTCGCAATAAATCTTATATTTTCCAATAAATTATGTATTTAATTAGTACCATTTTATACTCGTCACTTCCCTTGCATTCAAATTTAGAAAACACAGATATTTCAGAAACTGTTTAAAAAAGTGACTGACCGGTCTGGAACAGTATATTTATTATATTATCTATGTTGTCATAACAAAATGCTGTTTAATTTTCTCCGAAAACTATATAAATAAAATGAGGTCAAAAGTTGCCCAACTTTTGTAGAATCACCCATATATCAAAATTGCGAGGTTCTTTACCTCCCTGTCCAATTCTTTGTTTAAAAACACACTGGCTTCCGTGCGTGAAGTACTTTCCACTCGAATGATATCGCTAACTTGACTATTTCGTACACCAAACAGCAACCTGTCACCGTCAGGATCTGCTCCTCTTAACTTATAAATTAAAGTACCTACAAGTAAAATTGTTTAAAATAGCTAAAAATGTACTTAAACTTGAAAATATTGGAAGCTAAAAAAATATCCTTGTTGTGACGTTACAAGTATCAAATGGATACTATCCATTTAACGATATCATATTGTTTAGATGATGTTAAAAAGAAACACCATTTAGAGGCCTATTCCCTTTCATGCTGTTCATAAACATCGATTTTTTAACATGCATGTTCACCCAACGACAACCCAAACATCACATATCACGGTGCTGTTCTGAGAGGTAATTTTTGGACTTTCTGTGAAACCTAATTTTTTTTATATTCTTGTTAATTAGGTCATAACTAAAATTTTAAGAGCAAAATAAAAAAAAATTGACGGTTAATTTTGTTTTAATTGGATGTTTATTAAAAATATGTATGCACACTTTCAATTCTCCAATTAAAACTTGCGATTTTATTTAAATATTATCATAACTTTTTAAATCAGATTAAAGATTAGTTAATTTCCTAAAAAAAGGTCTATACATTTTTTATACCTTTTACTGTTTTGTTGTAATACACGTTTAAAGTTTTAATTTAAGGTTAAATGTATAGTATACATTTATTAAACAATAATTCTAAGGGTGCCACATTTTATTTAGGGCCGATTTATTCATTTTTGATTTATTTGACGAATAATTTCTTTGGATACTAGATATTGCCAAGACATGAAAGTTATCGGCCCGATAAACTTTACTAAAGATGAATAAACCGGTCCTTAGTTAAATTTCATTAATTTCTTCGTAACTTTTACTACAATTTTTAATTTTTGTTTATAAAAATCACTAAACAAAAATTATAGAATACCTACGTATACTGAAAATGACAATTCAAACGTCAAATAAATTTTTAATAGATCTAAGTTTCATGGCAACCTTTAAGGATATATTAATTAAGGGAACATAAATGTATACGTCAAAGGTTAGATTAAAAGTTTGAACGTTTATTGCAACAAAACAGTAAAATATATAAAAAAATTGTAAAAGAGTATCTTAGTTTTATAACCTTAAAGTCGCAGAACGTAAACTAAAATTGTGTTAGATAATTATTTTAAAAATCATTGGTGATAGTTAATATATTAAATGAACTTAAAAACAACTTCAAAAAATACACAAATTCTAAAAACGTTTTATGCTGAACTAGCCAAAGCGGGGCGGGGCATTAAGCCCATCTTTAAATGGAAAAGGGTAATTTCTTACTTATTTTTACACACTTTTAGTGAGTTGAAGGCCCATGTATTGAAAATGGCAAGAAAACTACGCATTTCTCACATGGAGACTGGCAATGTCGGGGAGCCAGTAAACAACTTAATAAAATTAAGGATAAATTACTAGCCCTAATATAGGAAGCACTGTGAATGTTAGTGGGATGTTGGAGGTAATACCATCGTTGGAGCTCTTCATTGACCAGCTTTTAAGGTCAGGTGGAAGGGCCCCTTCTATAACAGAGAGGCATAAAGAGGCCAAGAGAAAGTCCAACTCTGATGAGTAGCGAAGGTGTAGAGGTTTTAAAAGGTATTGATAAAACCTAAAAGATTTTAAAATTTATTTTCTGTTTTTTTCTAAATAAATATTTATTATTAATATTATAATAAAATTAATATTAAATTTATTAAAAACTTCAGTAAAGCAAAATTTGTATTCTGGTATTATAATTTAGAAATACATTTTCATAATTACAAAAACAAATCATAAAAATATTTTTAAAATTTCCAAAAATTATATTTTTATTTGTTTGGTGTGAAACCTTATGTGATTTGTCCTATTCTTATTTATAAATAATAATTTATCATTTATATATAATATTTATAATTATTTTAATTAATTAGGTAATAATTATGAAAAAGTAATTAATTCATAATTATAATTATATGTAGTATACTATGCTTGATAATGATACTGTATGATACTGTACCAAACATCGCCTCAATTTTTGATTAATTTAAGATGAAAAACTCAAATATTGGCTAACAGCACCTCTCAGGCAAGCGTTCGTAAACATACGTTTTTTAAACATCATGTATGTTTACCAAACAGCGAATTTTGGAAACAGAATAGCCATTTAAATACCGATTAAAATTAACATGGATGTTAAAGAAATTCTTTGAGCGCATGCGTCTATAGACGAAGTAATTGAAGGGAATAGGCACATATGTTACGAAACATACACTGTTTAAAATTTCATGACCATTTTAACACCAAATCAACACCATACATGGTCTATATCGATACAAACCAAAATGGTTCGTTGGTCCAGTGTAAATTCAAATACTAAAATAGTGTAAATTTAACTTTCACACAGTATTAAAATAAATTTTACCTGGTGTAAATTGAACTCCTTTTCTGTGTTAAATATTATGTGTTTTTGGTAAAATTAAATCATACTACACAGAAAAAAAGGAAAAAAAAGGAAGTTCCTTGACGCATTTCTAGTATATTACCAGTGGTATTATTCCAGAAAATTGAACCTTCAACTCGCTAGAGATAATGATTTTAGTGCGTTCCACTAACTTAAAATGCTTCAAGTATTGACAGCTGTTTCCACCTATTTAAGGTCTCTTTAGTATCAAACAACTTGTAGTGTCACACCAAAGCAAAGGACTACCTGAGTTTATATACTCTTCATGTAAGTCAACAGAGGCGAGATTTAAGAACATCACGTGATCCACACCGCCTTTGCCGCGATCGGTACACACTATGCAACCAGGAATGCACGGCAAATTGTTTTAATCGTTTTAACAGAGTGCTTTAGGTTGAAGTTACTCTTATTTTACAAACAACATATTTAGTAAACTGAACCAAACAGCGGGTTGGTTTCACTAAAGTTTTCTGGGTTAATTAAACCAATTAAAAAAATAAAATAACTATCTGGTTTAGTACCGTCAAACTAATCTTTGTTTGTATTAACCTTCCCACAGTTGATTTTAATAAATACTTATGGGTCAACTAAATTAATATAGTTAAATGAACTATTCCTTTTTTTCCGTGTAGGTGCACTTCTTAAATATTTTTAGATAAACACCGTTTTGGTTTTTGCTGTATATAACATTTTCAACCATAATTCATGGTGTTTATATTAACACCACTTGGTGTTGGATTTTGACACCATTTTAAGATTACTCTTTACACCACAGATATTTTAAACAGTGTATGTAGTTCATGAACATGCATGTTTAACGAAACGGAATAGTCTCTTAGTACCTATAAACCATTTTTTCTAAATATCTCTTTTTAATGATGTCTTACCTACGGGTGTTTCTCCACCCTCTTTCAGTCTTAAAACAATTTCGGTTTGGCCGTCGATTAAAAACCTAGGCGGTTTGTTGCTGGCAGCCAATTCGACATTAATAAGTAAAAGCACTAAATAAATTAACGAACAAAATTGCTTTCCATCACTAGAACGTTTGAACTTTATTTTGATGAAGTAACCACTGAATGTCCTTAGCACGTTTCTTATTAGTGAACACATTTTTGGGGTATATATTCTTTCTCGTTCTCGTTCACATTGTTCTTGATTGGACCGTTGATTTTCGTTTACAGACAGTTTCACTAAAACAAAGACTCAATTAGTTGTGTTTCATAATGTAGAAATTTATTTTATTAAATAATTTCTAATCTGTAAAATGCTTTTAATTATATATTTATATACACTGTAAAAGTTCTGGTAATGCTCGTTATAACAGAGTTATCAGATTTACATCGAAACAAAAAAGTCCATGCAATATTTATAAAGTCTCGATTTATTTGTGTGTATTATGTGGTTTACAGTGGATGGGTACCTATAGGTGTGTGTAAGTTATGAATATTATTATCCACACATGCGATGGTCAACGTAATCGGTCAATGGACGCCATAAACCACTGACCGGTGCAACTCGAAATGTAAACTAAGAAAGCAAGAATAATTATTATAACATTTTATGTTGAGCATATATTAAAGCCCCTGTATATCGAATATCTTACATTGTTTATAATTAAATAGGAAATGGAAAGTGTCATGAAAGAAAAAATTAAATATTAATTTAAAAAGAATTAAAAGACATCATTAAATCACCAAGAGCATCTCTCACTTAATTGTGACGTCCACAAGTTTTGTGGACGTGTGAGTTTGTTAATTTTATATTGTAAAATTTTAACATGGTTTGTAATTATTTTAACAAATCAAAATATTTTACTGAAAGTTTAGTAAAGGTAAGAAGCAATTTTGTAAGCATTTTGTTAATTTCAAAGGTTACTGATTATTTTGTTAATGTTAAAAAGTTATTTAGTTGTAAAAGTACACGTGATTTTAGGCAGTCCATCAAAACATTTCCCACTGACAATACGCATCAAAAAGTTGAACCGACTTCAGCATCTGCAACTTATGTTTCTGCTTACTTTATTGTAACGTGTACGTAACAACTGTCCAGAGTGTTTATAATATATAGTGTTGCCGTCAAGACTAACACATTCTAGACTCTTGTCTTGTCTTGTCTAGAATATCAAGACAAGACCGTCAACATATCTTGTCTTAGTGTATCAAGACAAGACAAGACCTTAGCCAAAAATCTTGATTATAATCAAGACAAGACAAGACTTTAAGCCAAAACTCTTGATTATTTTCAAGACTTGATTAAATTTAACTTTTTAAAAAATATTAAAAACACTTAATTTAATTATTATTTTTTTATTAAAAAGAATGTATATATTTTATTGAAATCTTGGGCTTATTTTTTACATATATTTGGGGCTTATCTTGGGCTTATTTTCTAGATATATTTAAAACTATTTTTGCCAACTGCTTAATTTAGTGCAAAAACAAAACGCATTGGTTGTGTCTGCACGTGGCGGAACTTCCGCCGCGGAAGTGATTTGTTTTGACTGGTTTTAAAACAAGAGTGGGAGTTAAATTGCGCAGACGCATAATTTATATCAAGACTCTTTAAAAATTATCTAGACTCTTAAATAATAATCTAGACTAGTTAATCTAGACAAGACCGCATTAAGCTTTTTTAATCAAGACACAACTCTTGTCTTGAAATTTTCAAGTGTCTAGACGGCACCACTAATAATATATTACCATAAATCTGTTATTATTGTTATTCGGATTCCTTATACCTATTTAACGAGTGTGCGAAAAAATGCCATCAATGGTTTTTAAACTGAAATTTAGGGATACAGTAAAGTGGGTTTAGGTTACGAAATACATCAGTAAGTGTTGTGGTAGTGATGATAATTATATTGTACCAAATTTCTTTAAAATTTGATGATTTCAGAATGGTGTGTTATTTAATTGTTTGTATGTTATTTTGTGAAACAGCAAGGATTAGGATACAGGGAAATTGTAAAAAAATGCTACATAAACATTGGGATGTTATATTAGCATTAAAGTTTACTTTTTACGCTCGCATCTTGATTACTTTCCTGAAAATCTTGGTGATGTTAGTGAGGAACAAGGTGAAAGGTTCCACCAAGATACTAAAAAAATGGATCACAGGATAAATATTAGGGTGTCCGTTATTTACCAAGTTGGTTTTTAGTTTATGGCCTAAAAGAAATTATCATATAAGCCCTTAATATTCAAATTAAACCTTTCCACAAAGACGATACATTTCCCATTTAAATATCATGGGGTTTCGGCACGTTTTACATTTAATTTTTTTTCTCCCGATATTAATTTAATATACAGCAATAGAAGACACAAATTTATAGGAAATTGAACGCTGTACAAAAAAGCTCTCCTATGATTTTTCGATAAATTCACTGGTTTAAAAGTTATTTAAGGTTAAAGTTAAACTTTTTTTTCGATTTTTTTACTTTGACTGCAAAATTATCATTATTTTTATGAAAATGAATTGTTAATTTTTGAAAATATGTGATTTTATTGTATTATTGAAAAAATAAAAATTATTGAAAAGAGATATAAGTGAAAATTATTGACAAGAGATTCCGATAAATTAAAAAAAAATGTATTACATTAAAAAAATCTGGTACTAGTTTTATTCAATTTTAAAACGTTTCCTTTTTTTACCTACATAATCTTTTTATTTCTGTGAAATTTTACAAAATTTTATACGATTTTATAAAATATTATAAAATGAAAAATTTTCCTTTAGCTGTAGCTAATGACGTAGAAATTCTTTAAACAATTTTTTGATAAATACAATTTAATTACGCACTAAAGTATGATTTATGACTGACCACAGAATAGAGGAAGGCAAAAGTCGTACTTCCTAGATTTTGTATCGCAAAGTTGACATAGCGCAGCCGTGTCGCGCACGCAGTTTGAAGTAGGTCAATCACCAATCGTCTGGCATCTTTTAAATAATAGTATATTATGTATCAAGTTTTATAAACGCCATTTTAGTTAGGAGTTTTATAAGGCACGAGCGAAGCTTAAAAACGAGTGTCTAGATAAGTTTATAAAACCAGTTGCATACTATACTTTATCTCGGGACTTTTCTGGCAAAATCTGCATCGCTGCTTCTTCCGCTTCCGTAAGAATATCCTCAGGAACGTAATTTTCATCGGTTTCCTCCATTTTCTATACGTTTTTTTCTTCAAAATAGCTTCCCTTTTCTGCAGGGATAACTGACAAGTGTCAAAATTTATTTAAACATTTGCTAATAATATATCATGCCCGTGGCAACCAAACAAACAACCTACTTTGACCAAAATGTAAAAAAGTCACTGTCAAGTCATTCTGACATTTATAGGGTACTGAGACGCAAGTAGCTTTGATTTGATCACAAAGCTTATTAATTATTATCTCATAAAAAACGATTTCTTCCTCTTGTTGGATAATAGTTATTTACGATATAAGTGGGATAAGAGCTTTATTAACGTACGCATGCGAAATTTGCCCAACGAGTGCGTAGCACGAGTTGAGCAATCGCAAAAGTACGTTAATAAAGCGTTATCACACGTATATTGTACAAATTTTTATCTACGCCTCTAAATGAAAAAATAAACGGTAATTATTTTTGTCTAAGACTTAATTTAGGGTTATTTTGACATTTTGACTTTTTTATTTGATTGGTTAAAAGCAGAGAAAAACGCGTGCGTTAATGAACTTCTTATCTCACTCAAAATGAGTGGGATAAGAAGTTCTTATCTCACTGGCGTAGATAAAACATTGTATGCCACTCACCCTGACAGCAAAATTTGATTCTAAGAATCTTCTAAGAAGATATGACCCGGAATAATGGAATATTCTTAGAAACTTCCCTTATTGCTAAGAATGTTATTAGGGACTTTTAAAACATTCAATAGATACCCTTTTAATGATGCAATTAAATTCTTAGAAGCTTCTTAAAACCTTCCTAAAAAGCATTCTAAGAACATTTTAAGAATACGTTTTTGGAATGTTCTTAGAAGGTTTCTTATGGAGCTTCTAGGAATCTTTTGAGAATATTTCCAAATATGTCAGATCCATGTTCTAATATGTTGGATTCTACATTCGTAAATTTTTTCAGGAGGCGACAAATAGGCCTCACTGTCATAATATCACAGTGAAATGTATTTGCGACATATTAATATATATTTATTTAAAAATATTAAATAAACAATTTGACGTCTAAACCATAAAAAATAAAATTGGAAAATTTTGTGGGATAAGTCAGATTAGATTGAAGTTGAAGATAGTTAGGATTATTATACATAAAAATGTTAATTCAGATATAAAAAATCGGTATACAAATTAATAAATATTTATTTTTAACATAAATTAAAATATAAAAAAACAAAATATTTCCTTATAAAATAATTCTTCATAAAAAAAAAACCAAATAGTTCTTCATAAAAAAAACATTTTTCATTGTATTTATAGATAGAAGATTTTATGTAAAAGCCGGATAATTTAGATACCTATAGTAAAAGTATATATTATTTAATACTAAGTATAGGCAACTTTATACGTAGATTATGGTATATTTTACTACTATACGTCCCAGGAATACCTAAATGAACTTTCTATAGCAATTACTTTCTCAACATTCTAAGCATATGTTTAGAGTTGATTAATTTTTACCACTAAACTTTGCACCTTCTAAGAACCTGCCTATAGGCCAGTGAAAATATTCTTAGGATTATGCTATATTTATTTTAAGCATGTTTTTTAGAAGAAATATAGCATGATCCTAAGAATATTCTCACTGGAAGGTTTAAAAAACATTCTTAGAACATGACTAGAAGAAATATAGCATGATCCTAAGAATATTCTCACTGGAAGGTTTAAAAAACATTCCTAGAACATGACTAGAAGAAATATAGCATGATCCTAAGAATATTCCCACAGGTAGGTTTAAAAAACATTCTTAGAATAAACTGTGCTA